GAATAAGGCCTAAAACTCGTCTGGTGGGAGTAAAAAAGCTCAGGCCAAAGATTTTTTTTGTTCTGTTCTCGTAGTTGCAACACATTCTGAATCCTGAATTTTGTGTATTCGTTTACAAGACGCAATTTAAAAAAAAAAAAAAATTACATTAAAAATTACATTACAAATAAAATCAACTACGCTATAAATGAAATCAAAAATTACGTCAAAAGAGATGTTTTAGTAGTGGGAAAGTCATTTAATAAGTACTACAGCCTCTAATGCCAAAGATATTACCGTCTACGGGTACATGTGTACAACATATATGTTTTCTATAATTCCTAAGAAAACAGCTAGTTTATCCTGGGATATCTCGTTTTTCAACATGGTCTTGGACAGTGCGACAACGAGTTGAATGGAGAAGTTGTCAGCCGCATCGATGGCACGATAACGAAAGTCGATGACATAGAGTTGCTCAAGTATTCAAGTAAGTGTCCCGTTTTTTTGAGGCTCTGCGCCCTGTCACCAGTATCAATGATCAATAAATAGCAACGCGCACCAGATATTCAGCGTTCCCGCGTTCTCGGGTATCACCTACGGTCTCATAAAAATTTTGGCGGGTAAACTATCAACTCGGGAATCACGGAAAGATATTCATCCTTCAAGGTTTTGAATTCAGCTTTCATGCACAGGTGCGTGAAATTTCTATTTTTCAATGTTTCAACTGCTTTTGCATAGACTAAAGTACAAAGCAGTGAAAATCATTAATAGGCAATCGTTCGATGAGCTGAATTGCAAAAAACGCATAACAAGGAATACGCATTCTTGTCAGGAACAGTTTTTGCCTTAAAACAACGTCAAAAACACAGAGGGAGAAAAGAAATGGTGAGATTTTTCAAACCTTGCTACAGGCGACGAGTGATTCGAGCCGCGTATCGGCTAATATCTCATGTGGACAGGAATCCAACAGGAATGCGCGGCACACCGAATGATGATTGTAGGGCACGATGCGACGGCCCTCTTCCTGCGCCCGATTGGTGCCCATCAACTGGTTGATCATATCACGCATTTCCGCCGTCATCTTCAACTATAACAGCTTCTGCAAGAACACACA